TTTGTAATGCTCTTGTTGTTACGTCCAGTCCATCCGAGTGCTGATGGCACTCGTGCTACACAGTCGAAGTTCACTAGGCCGGCCTGAGACTCAGCTGTAAAAAGGTGTGGTTTCTCGCTCGGGTTAGCTGGGCAAGCCCAGGTCCCGTGTTGCTGGACCATTCGACGGATCGATAAATGAACCCGATCGGTCGTGTGATTTTCGGGCCGGCCTAGGAGGAGGATAGGTTCCGAATCCGATGCTGCCTAAGCGTTGGTAGAGAATGACCACAGTAGAATCAGTTGTGGAGCGGTGCGCCATGTGCGAAATTCGGAATGGAAAATGCTCAAGTGATTGTGACACTGGGCCAGCGCGTGACTCGTCTAAGATACACGCACTATTTTTGAAGCGGTTTCTGTAAACACATAATCATAATAAAACTTTGAAATAGTCCTAATAACGGACAACAATATCCCCTAATGTAGGCCCATGCAAAATTCTTCTCGGTTTTTTCCCAACTGGTTGTTTTTGCGTTGAACGATCTCGCTAAATGTGTCGGAGATAAAATTCTAAAAGAAAGAAAGAAAGAACAAATATTATAGAAAAATGCATACTTATTTCATAAAAGTTTCTCAGTATATTTTCCATTCTGCTGCTTGCATAGGAAAATCCGGTGAAGATAGTTTTCTTCCACCTTTAGAATGGTAGCAGTTGAAATAATTTCGCACTGCGCCAGAATACTCTGTTTTAGCTCCTCGATCCTTCTCGGTTTTCGGGAATAAACTGTTCGCTTCAGATATCCCCACATAAAGGAATCCAAGGGGGACTGATCAGGCGATCTTGCAGAACATTCCTTGTGTCCTCCTTGTGCAATCCATCTGGAGTTAAATTCCGAGTTGAGGAAATTACTCATCACCGGAGCATTGTGTGACGGTGCACCGTCATGTTGGGACCAAACGGTAGTACCAACTTCAGTTTCTATATGCCGGATAGCAGGTACCACATTATCTTGTAACATTTGCAAGTATGCGGTGCCTTAAACCATTTATTAGGCAAAATTGTTCTTACCTGTTACTTTTCCGTTGAAAAAGTACACCCCAACTATCTATATTGTCCATGATATCCACACATACGCCTAGAAACACAAACATTGTCTACGTTTTTTCCGTTTCCTTGAAAAAAGTAAAGGATTGATTATTTCTCTCCATAAAGCCTCGTCGATTCGCAGCACGTCTTTTAAATCGCATTTTAAGAGACGAAATTTTAATGGTTGTAGGTGTCAAATGAAAACCAGACCAAATAATAATTTTAAATTATCGGAGCTTTATGATCAGATACACGTTTTGACGCTAAGAAAACCTAATTCCAACGTTATGTCACGTGGGATGAATAGAAGAAAGTGTGAACAGATATTCTGTAGAAGCTTGTCTTAAGCGTTTTTTTCCATCCATAACGGACTTCAAATCCGTTCCTCATTCTAAAAGCATACTTTACTTATTAAAAACCTAAGATTATGGTGCACGATTGTCCTGACACAACTAATAAAGGAGTCATCGTTATCTTCGAACAGGATTATTACAATAATTTTGTTTCTTTTGATGTCAAACAAGTTACTGGCCGTGTATGAGGATCACCTTAATGTGGAATAGATTAGTAATCCGTAATTTTTCCACAATAATATCATAATAACCGTATACAACCTAGCAACTTGATACGTTCTCCTCACCAAATCAGTGGTATCTGTGGAAGTACCGGCATTCATTCAGATATCAGATTAATAACCTTTATAATAGCCACTCTGTTCTTCTTGCTACATCATTCCGTTGAATGACTTGTTGGTTGCGACTTTCGTACAAACTGAACGTTGATCAACAGCTCTGCCATTGGTTCCCCTTCGATCGGACTCTTGTGATTCGCTATTCCAAGTACCATATTTAAGTTCTCTATTTCGGGCTAAGAAAACTCCTCATGCATTTTTCTTGTGTATTACTCTATGATTATGAGTTTACTGCTTCATTACACATCTCGCTTGTTGAAGAATTACATTTTTCGTCAGTTTATGAGATATAACTACGAAAGCACATGTTGATACATGAATTCTGGAAAAAGTTCTGCACTGATCGGTATCTGGGCATGAATTCTAAGGGAATATATTGCTCAACATGATGAAATAGGTTGATGATTTGTATGAATTGATAACCTATTCTCCCTCGTTAAATTTAGCGCTTTATTTGTTCTCGGTTTTTAGTCCTAATGCTTAATTGAAGTGTTTCTATTTTATTTTCAGAGTTGTAGTGGTGAGGATGAAGAAGATGAAGAAGAAGCCGAAGAAGAAGAGGGTACAACTTTTGAGGTAATTCGGTGAATGAAGGGCTTTTTCTTGCTTCGTGCACAGTAATGTTCCATGTTCAGTCATTAAATCAGAACACAGAAATAAAGAGATGCTAGTCATACTGCTTGCTCGAATTTGATTTGAGCTTTGTCGCATTGGTCACTATGTATGAATCCAATATCACTAATTCGAAATTCCTGAAATATTCTCTCCAGTTGTTCACATTTTCCCCATAAATTAAGTATTTCCTTTTGATGTTTTGGTTCTTTATTCCTTTAACTGCTTTAATACAGCCCCTACTATTGCTCATCACGATTAGAGCACGATCAAGTAACAAGTAACAATTGCACGAAACCAAACTCAGAAATGCACTGTGTTGGACAGAAATCATCTGCTCATGATTGACATATAGCACAACCACAAAAAGCGAAATGACCTGATGTAGCAGCGATTTAAGAACTGGTGACTGCGTGCAGCGATCACCGCCTCACTTGCACACGCATACACACACACACACACACACACTTGAACTCTACGCGACCTTTTCCACTTCAGGTGAATCCAACCAATCGCACTGTACTGATAGGTGATTGATCATGGTACCTCAGTCGTCACACGTCACCGATTGGATCCGTTCTTTCAACACCCCGTCCAGTCGTAATGAACTCATTTCCCCATAGACGAACAAAAGTACTTTTTCGGCGAGGTTGAAATTTTCCGTGGGATGGGTTTTGACAGTTCATTGTGTGTGTGTGTGTGTGTGTGTGTGTGTGTATGTAAGTGGGGCGAAGTGACAGATGCACGCAGCCACCAATTCCTAGATCGGTGAGTTCTGCGTAGAATGCGATTGGTTGAATGCACTTGAAATGAGAAAGGTATGGTAACGTACAACAAAGAAAAACTGCACGACACTCGATGAACAACTTACAAGCAAAGGGATCTATTCAGTAGATATGACGTTTCACGGGTGGCGATGCCATGACGTAGTGACAAGTTTACTCGAATAATGTAGCTGTCGATTATGTCTAGAAAATAAAATGGATTTCACTAGCCCAAATGTACGATTTACTACTAACACTGTAATAATCAGCACCTTTGGAATACAACCACTTCAAACCTGAACAATGTGTGCACTGTGAAATCAACACTGGCTTGTGAAAATCTGTGTTCTTAGATAATCTTTCATTGTTTGCAATCTTGAATGGGGACCTTGGGATCATGGTAATCAGATATAACTGAAACTTAGTAGAAAAGTCTTTGCAGGGTTTTATCTTTTCTGAAGGGTTTTGATAGATAGTAAACACGTTTGCCATCGGTTGATGATTGGTTGCTTTATTTTCCTTTAGAAACAATAAATTAAAAAGGTATTGATTTATTGTCCATCTTACTGATTTGATTCTTGTTACACTTTCGAGTGAGCCTAATATTCACAATGTGTCATCGTTGTATTTGGCGATTGGTCTCCACGGGAATATGGATGGATGGCTTCATGACCAACAAAGTTCCTTTAAACTATTCAAACGATTTCTGACCGTCTAAGTATTCATGCTTGGTAATCGGATTTACATCCATTTGATCACCTTGCAGTTTTCATGTAATGTCGCATTGTGTAAATAGTATATTTTTAGGGCGTAAAGGTGGGGTGGGGTCTAAATCTAACTAACGAAGATGAACGGAAAAATACTTGCTGTTTGCTCTGTTTAAATTAAGGCATTTATCCATCGATTTAATCATTACGAGTATGCATAATTTTTTGATATAACTGTCATTCATGTTTGGGCTTTTCAACAGGATCAAGAAGAACAAAAATTACAATTGCTCAGCGAACAAAACCGTTTGGCCGATCGTGGCGCAGCCGAAATGGTGCTTCTCCAACTGGCTGCTTCCAGAGGTACGTATACGAGAATTTTAACGTCTATGTGAATTGTGTGAACACCATACGACAGTTATTACCTCCTACTGTCCCCACCCGGGGCGTTCATTACACATCCGTCCAGACAGTGTGATATAACGAAAAAACATTGCTCTTAAATTAAAATATGCTATTTAGAAGTGTAACATCGGATTATTTACAGTATTTTTTTAAATTTGTGGTGTATAGAGATTAACACTATAAAATCTATGGATTCCTCTGATCAATCTTGGCGGAGATCTGAGGGTACAATTCTTGGTTTGATTAAAGCCCTGTGGTCTCTTATAAAGGTCGGCACAACAGTGTTGGACCTATTGTGGATCAACATGAGTCGCTGAATGCAATAAATCTATGAATACTGTGAAATATAAATTAAAGCAATCACTCCAAGCAGTCAGTCCAAACATGAAATTGATTTACTGTAGTATTCGGAATAAGAATCAAAATCGAATTGTGCGAACTCCGTATCGGACTGAAAACCCACTGAATAGCGCAAAGCCATGCAGGACCAAAGCGAGCTGCAGATACAAGTAATTCTATTGAGAAAATCATGGAAATATATATTACAGGCAACAAGCAATCATTGGTCGATTCTTGAATGTCCAATCGACAAGGATATGGTTTATCTGTTTGCCTTCCTGCGGTCAGCCAATCCGGATGATGCCAATTGAGAC